CTATGCAGCTTACCGATTAAAACAGGTTATTACAGTATGTGATGCAGTACTTTAGTGCTAATTAGCTTTAAATGTGAAAGCATTTGGTGTTATGATGGACTACAGCAGATTTTAATACGCAATACAGAGCAACTGCTGCATTGGCATGCACAACCTCAATTCATAGTTTTATAATGTAGAAGTTTTGTACTGTCAGAAACTTTTTACCCCGTGGCACCGTACATGTGGCATTGTGATCATTTTTCATCTTCATTTCTGCTTGCCGGAATGACTCCTCACCTCTCTGTAATTTCATAAATTTGCAGTCCTTTTTGAACCCTCTGTTCCTGTAGCTAATACTGTGCTTTTGCACTGTGATGTAGCAATTTAATCCTTTTATAAATGGAATTCTTCGGCTCCCTATCTTTCTTTTTTTTTTCAACACTGCTTTAAGGTTCACGTGAACACAGGGAGACCCTGAAAAACTCACCTGTGCCGCTTCCCATTTTATTTTTCTTGAATTTTTCAAGAGGCTAAATGTGTTGATTATGTTAATTGTGTAATGTAGATGTTTGCTGTATACAATAATAAGGTATATTTCTTGAGTAGCAAATCAGCATATTAAAATTATTTCTGAAGGATCATGTGATATTGACTGGAGAAATGGCTGTTGAAAATTCAGCTTTTCCATTACAGGGATAAATAACATTTTAAAAAATATTTAAAAAGAAAAAATCTATTTTAAAAATATTTTACAATATTAGTCAAAAACATTAGTTAACAAACTAACAATGAACAGTTTTATAAACAACTGTTTATTATCTAATGTCACCAAAGATTAATAAATACTGTAACACATGGACTGCATTAACTAAAGTTACCTAAGACCTTATTGTAAAGTGTTACCAATAAATTAATACATTTTACATAGAAAATATTAATATTAATTTAATTATGTATATAGGCCTCTGTCTCTGAAAATGTTAAGTGTAGTGTTTCAGTGGTGTTTCAAAGTTTCCTGCTACAAATCTCCAGCATTTTACTATTACACTTTTTCAAATGGTATTTTCTATTCCTTTAGCTGTGTTGTAAAGAGTGTATCTTCCTTTGTTTAGCAACAACAGGTATAAGAAGCCATGTGCCGTCTTATCACAGCATTCTACTGTATCATCTAAAGTGCTAGTTCTGTACTTTAGTATTTTGCTGGAGTATCAGCACCAGCCCAGTGCATCCCTTCAATGCTTGAGACGAGGTGAGAGTCCAGCTGGGGAAATTACAGAACCAGCCGCTGATTGAACCACTGATGGAGACCATTTGAGCCTCAGTGCTGCAGCAGGAAATTGAATTACCCTCACAATCTGTTTGTGCTGTACGTGCATCCCTCTGTTGTTCCGTTACGTCTGCCATGTGTGTGTGTATGTTTGTGGAGACTGTTTTCGATTACCTCGCTGAATGTGTGAAATCCTCCTGATCTGCTTTACGGTTGCACATGGCCGGATTTAAGCATGTCACACCTACAGGATATTGCCTCTTTTATGGTGGGTCACATGATTGTAAAAGGCTGCGCCCACAACTGGGAAAGGTTTAGAGATATGAGATGATGCTTGAAGGCTCCAGATTTACTGAGCCTAGTTATTTGATTGAAAGTGATATGCTTTGGTCACTTTGGACTTCCATCTTCACATTATCCATACTAAAGCTACATCCTCAAGATCAGTCTCTGCCGGATTTACTCCATAAAGCCTACCATGGTGAAAAACACAAATTTTCTTGCGGTTCACCAGGAGAACTGGTGCTGGTTAAGCTAGTTAAGAAGCCTGATGCATCTAAGGCTATGTCTACATTAATCCAGATACATCTGAAAACATCAGATGTAGTGTGAGTGTCCACACTAGCATTTTTAAACGTTTTGTGACCGTAATGTAACTGTCCCTTCAACGGCCGTTATTTCTGGCATTAGCATAAAATGTCTTCTTGTATGGCCATTTTTTTCTTACAGGTCAACTACTTTCAGAGCAACAGTTTGAAGAAAATCTTGCTTTGCAAATTAGTGTAAGTTGACATGCCTGCATTGCTAGCTTATGGTTCTGGTTACAATAACTATCTACTGTAGTTGCAAAGACATTTGAAGGGAACTCTACTGCCCCCTTGAGTACTGAAGGTTATTGCCACCGACACGAGTGCACGTTTAGTATGGCATGTTTGTGTAAAGTATATTGCTGTCTTTATTCTGTTGCACATAAATAATTAGTGATAGACTAAAGCAATTTACTAAAGCAAACATGCTGTGTTTTTCCACTCTGACTTTGGCATGTATCCAGTTAACATTTTTGTGGCTGAATATGGCAAAATACATTATCCAAATTGGAATCAACAGGATCCAAACACGTGCTGATATGCGAGATGCGGGTTCAAATCCAGCAGTTCAGTGACAATAAACAATAAAGATATATATGTGTGTGTGTTCCAGTGCTGGTTAAGCTCAAATAATGCAAACAGTTCTCCGGAATGATGTTTATTTTTGCCGTCACTGCTTCTGATACCATAAACCCTCAGCAGTGCACTTCTGCTTATTTAAGCAATCAAGAACGTTTTAACCTCATTGTTATTCTGCACGCAACCCATTAGTAATAATTAATCAAAACAAACAAATGGCAGAAAACAATAAAGTCCATTGTTGTTTTTCATAATCAGACAACTAATTAATTTGTATGAAGCCAACTTTCTGGCTTTCTCTCCAGCAGGGGTAAAGACATGGAGGAACATGGAAACTTCTGCTTCTCACGACGCTCACTCCAATTATTACGGAAATCCATGTGGAACGGAATATTGTTTGTTGCCATTTGCGCAATGAATAATTCATGTTTTTGTTGTGGGAGTGTTTTGTTGGTAGATACATTTCTTTGCATCGTCTTCTGTCTCATTCTGTTTCCCTCTGCTTGGTTTAACAAGACCCAGCAGAATTGCGCATTACTTCTGCAAGTGAAGTACTTCTTAAAATGAAACTTTAGTACATTTGCTTGTTCATTAGTACTATTTTAATTCCAATGGCTGGGTGTTGTTATAAGAATGTGTTCAGTAATGCATTGCAGAGGATCTTCAGAGACCTCACGGGTTCTGTCATGTTGCTACAAAACCCGAGTGGCGAGATGTAAAGAAGAACTTGCACGGTTCATAGGAAACGTTCACAATGGCTTTAGTTTGGGTAGTTCTTGCTGTGCGCAGGCAGTGACCGAAAACACTATTGAACAAGAAACAGAGTAATCTGTATTTTCAGAGAGAGAAATAAATTGCGATGACCTTTCCATTTCAAAGATGTATGAGAGTGCGCGTGTATAGTCATCCAGCAAGAGTGATTTAAACGCATAACGGAAACACGTGACTCAAAGGAACAGACAGTGTATAGACAGGAAAGGCTGAGTGGGTCCTTGGAATACTGCACATTTTTTGTACAATTATTTTCTTCAGGCAGATGCTGCTTAATTGAACCTAAATGCGTGTCTGCATCTCGAATGAATCATCGGTGGAGGAGAGTTTCTTAGTTCATTATTCAAATGAAAGGAGTATTTATTTTTAAGATTTCTTTCAGGGTAGAAGCAAGTTCCTTGATGTTTTACAGTTGGCTAAGTTTGCCCTGGACGTGCTGGGAGTCTGAAATCGTAACAGTGATTGTTAGTCATCTCCCGGTGAGCACTACAAGGTTTAGGCATGGGCGAGAGTTCAGACACAGCGTTCGAGTCTGCATCCATGCCAAAATGCCCAGATTGTGTGCCAATGAGTCTGCGTGAAGCCTTGGGGAGGAGAGAGGAACTGCCTGAATTCGCAGCAGTGGGGGATGAGATACTGAATAAATGAGAAATTGTTATTCATGTAGAATAAAGGAACATTGTTTGGAAGACCTACAGCACTCTGGATTTTTTTTGTGATTTTCCCCAAGCAGAAGTTTTGAAACATGGATTGCATACTAGCAGATGAAGGAGCGCATGAACTTGGAGACAAAACTGTATATTTCAACCAGAAGAAGATACAGTCAGTTGAGCTGGCTCGTTGAAAATTGAATTTGCCTTTCCTCATTTCGCGTAGACAGTGAAGTGGAACTCCTGAAATGTAAAACAACAAAAGGAAAACCTTGGAAGAGTTGTTTGAATGTTCAAGAGCAGGGTTATTCTCAGTTGTTAGAATGATATCCTTAAGCATATTGACACACACAAGAGTGCTGTTGTTAATATTGGCTGTGATTTGGCAATACGTTAATATTATTGGGGTAATAAACATTTTTGACACAGTGTTGACAGTTGCATTGTGTAGTTTGCTTTTTTACCAGAAATAGTTCCAGACAAAACCAAAGCAGAATCAGGTGCTGTGACTCCAAACAATGCTACAAATGCTAGTGGTGTATTGCTATTGAATGTTTCTTTTTTTTCTTTTAAAAATAATCAAACTAATGATTCTTTGAGTCATACAGACATTCACGTTTCCTTTCTGAGTGAATCAATGTTTATGACTGAATTGGCTGAATGAACAATTCAAATGACTCACTTCTATAGAAAGTGGCTTCATTTGTTCATCAATTAATCAGTATATTAAAACAAATTGGCTGAATGAATGATTCAAATGACTCATTCGATTCATTTATGATTGAATCAGTGTGTTTTAAAGAATCGGTTAAACAGGAGATTGGGTGACTCACTCTTTTTTTTTTTTACAATCACAGTGACTCACTCTTTTTTAATGAACTGGTTGAGTAAACAGTTCAGTGATTCACTTATATTTAGTCGATTGAATGAAATAGTGTTTTTGAACATTAATGATGAATGATTCAAATGACTCCGTTACCCATCTATAATAGCATTTGTAAATCTAACCTCTCTCTGCTGCCGAGGTTTCTTAAAATGTTATGTTAAACCCTATGGGTATGCATATTGTCAAAGTTTGTTTTACTTAATCGTGTATAATGAATAAATTGTGTTTAAAAGTTGGTTTCGTTTTCTAACCGTCTCTCTGTTTTCTCTCACTTGTAGATACCCTGCTGTCATCTGGCCATGGTGAGTACTTGAGAAATATGTTCCCGGATACAGCTCTGCATGACTCTGAATGTGCCAGATCTCAAATGTGATTACTGTTTTTCAGTGTTGGTCTGCAAGAACGCGTGACTCCATCCAAATGGAGCATCGCTGCGGCAGCAGATGTACATCTTTTTTTTTCTGAAATTCACTTAGCATACTTTCAGGTCTGTTGGCTGACACAGAGAACCCAATCTTTGTTAGTGATTACTGAAGACTCACCTCTGCTCCCTCGGTTCTGTTCTGAGATTCAGAGCTGGCACATTTTCCCAGCATGCTCGTTCAATCATTCTCGACTCACTTCGGTCAATCACCCCTCGTGGTTCTATTGTTCGGTTCACACGCGCTCGGTCTGGCTGTTTGTCAAAGATGAGGCGGTTGCGCTGGGAGTCGCTGTGTAGACAGACCCCTTTTTCATGTACATTTGACTCAGCGGGGGGCAATCTTTAAGGTGTGTGTTTTTGCTATTGAATTTATGCTGTTATATATTCTCAAATTGCCTCCCATTTTTAGCAAAATAGAGCACTGGAAGTTTTGCGCATGTGCTGGATATATAATGGACTGCGTGACCAGCATATAGTCCACCTGCAGAGCTGCAAGGGCCACTGGAAAATAACACCTGCGTTGTCCATTTCTGCATCCATTCGGAGATGGAGAGCAAGAGCGAGATTAGAAAGGAGTGAAAAAAGCCTTGCAGAGTCTGCACTTAAAGGGCAGTCCTGTCCTGAACTCGAGCTGTTTATGTTTTGCACTTAAAGCACACTTGCCCACAATGCTTTGTGGAAACAAGACGTGGCACTGGGTCCATTTTTTCCGTTTACTCTGCACTTTGTGCAAGAATAGGATATGTGCAGGCCAGCAGGGTCTATATTTCCAGGCCAGCACATTTTACTGTCTTTGCCAGTGCTCTTTTGTCAGACGGTAAGCTGGTACAAATAGTGTGCTGCCCTTCAAGATTTTTGCAAATGCACCATAATGGATAATAATACAGCTAATGCAAGCGTTTTAAATAGCTTGAAAAGGATGCTAAAAAAACTCTGCGGACTATTTTAGTATGTACTGCATTTTTACTGTGTTTGTGTAGCGTTAGTGTAAACGAAGCAAAGGGCCATATGGTCGAAGCGATGTAGAACGATGTTGACGACATCATCCTGACAACGGTGATGGTCACTGTTTAGACAGCAGGCATTACTCCTCCGGCTGCTTTACACAAATGTGTTCACACAAACACGAGCACACTCTATCCTTCTGTCCAGAGCCGTGAGTGTGACTCAAAGTGGCTAGGCCTGAGGTGTACACATACACAACGCTGTAAGCATATGTGGGTACAAGGATATATATCTTTATATACATATACTGTAAATATTCATATGCATGGCTGTATATAGAGGGATACGTATGAACACACTGGCCCTGCCTGTACATGTATAAATGAAGGGCCCAAATTTAGGTCATGAGAATAGGGTCTACTAGTACAAAAATATACACAGGTATGTGTTTAAATTATGTTAATAAATAGCAATTGGGGCAGAAAATTAAAATGGGTTTGGGCAAATAAATAAATTCAGTAGTGTTTTTTTTTTGCATTGAATTAATTAAAACTGACAGTAAATTTATAATATTACAAAATAATTATATTCATAGAAATTCAGGGTTTGTTTCTGTTAAGTATCCTATAAAAATTTTAAGAAGGAGAAGAAGAAGAAATGTTTCTTGAGAATCAAATTTGTTAGAATTTAGCATGTTTTCTGACAACTGGAGTAATGGCTGTTAAAAATTCAGCTTTGCATCACATAAACAAAATACATACTGTATTTAAAATGTTTTAAAATTTAAAACAGTTATTTTAAATTGTAGTAAAATTGCTCGTTATTATTTTTAGTTTATATTAGCTTTAGTCAGCATAAGAGGCTTTTAAAAACATCAACAAAATCTTACTGACCTAAAGGTTTTGAAAGGTAGTGTATATTTAATAGCACAAATACTATACATAAAAACTCTTTATTAAAATATAGATATGGCACTGGATTCAGTTTTTAATATAATAATTTAATTTAATAAATTACTGTATACTTACACTCCTCTGAACTTTTTGTGTCTTTATTGTTCTTGTTTACATCTGATCAACACATGCTCTCTTTCAGTGTAGTTTACTTTGATAAGAGTTTTTGCATCTAATATCATGAATGTCAAGGCCGCAGCTGAGCACCTGTATCACCTATAAGACATGCTGGCTCTGCATAGACACAAACGCAAAGTAAATTCTTTACATGGATGTTTTTGCTGAATGTTGCTCTCATTCTCTCTGTCTCTCTTCTCACTGCCTTCATCTATTCTTCAGTATGAATACGGTTGATGGCTTAAACTAAATAAATTAAAGCAGCAAAGGGGGCAAGTGTAAGAGAGATGGAGGAATAAAGATGAAAGAGTGAATGAAGGAGAACTCGGTGTCCTTGGCCTTTGTGTGGGTCTGGCTGCACTCTGCGGTTTTGATGACAGAACGCTTTACAGCTGTCAGCTTATGCGCACCTCACTACCCAAGAGAAAATGACATGTTTTCCCTGTATCTGCTTTTTTTTTTATTTTCTGTTTTATTACAAATTTCAGTTTGTCCTTTCATTACCATTTCTCTTCTATTTTATCTGTGGTGGTTTGTTCAGGTTAGTTTTTTAAACCCACTGACAGTATTGTAAGATAAGATATATTTATATCATGAATATACAGTATGTATATATTTTCTTATATATATACATTTTTTACAATGATAACTTGCAGTTCCCCTTCAGGAACTCGAGCTGCATCGAGATCGCTTCAGGAACACCCCTGCGTGACCGCGTTCTGAAGCACGTGTCAAATCAGTCCAATGGAGTAGCGAGACGTCACGAGCGGGGTGA